AACGTGGAAACAGCAACATACACTAACTCGATTGTACACAGCAAGTAGATATACTAACAACGGGCTCCTTTTTTTAACCGAGCCTCGACTACCAGCTCGATACGTGAAACCGAACCTCAGACCGAAGCTGAAGCCAAAGCGGTGGGGGTATGACGTGGGTAACAACGAACTGAGCGCATCACTGATTGGTGCGCTTCATTGTCCCGAAATGATAGTTGCGAGAATTACCATTTCGTAATCGTCGCTCGAGCGCATAGGTAACCTGAGGGCGTCTTTACGGAAACCTGCGGGTTACCCCCCGAGGGTATCCTGGGGGTATCCCACGCTTTCCAGCGGATTCGGACTCTTGATTTTTTATCTCTGAGAGATGTCGCGAAAGGGGAGAAACGGTGGCTGCTGGGCGGGGAGACGAACGCGACCTAATCTCAGACTCGTGGGGGTGTCGAGGCGAGGGCGTTGGTTCAGCGACCCTACATCGTGATGCAAACGAAGGACAACGAGGGGGCGGCGGAAGGGTGTGCGACTGGGTTTGCGAGGGGAAACGTGAACAATGTCATCTCAATTGAGTGCGTGGGCGACGACGATTTAGGGGATCCGCGATGCGAAACGTAGAGTCGGGAGGAGGGAGCATCGATGTCGATGAGAAAGGACGGCGAGGATGTGAAGCGTGGGTGACGGATAGCATTCAATGGGTGTTTCGATGGTTGGGAAAGAAGGCGATAGCCTTCGTCGTACGGAATGCGTGCCGGCGCGGAAAATCCTCCACATAGATTGCGCGTTTTCTTCACATTGGTGAAGAGATGTGAAGCGACACATCGGGAACAATGGGGGAGCATGGAAAGAAACTTGAGTGTGATTCGGAAACCCGTATTACAAGCACAGACAGTGCTGCTCTTGGCATGTCTGCTCATATTTTCTGAGTAATTATGTGCTTCAAGACTTGTCGAAGTGTGGTAACCAGCAGGTGCGAGGCACCCTGTCACCAGTTTGCTTTGGGATTTGTAATTCAAGTTCGGACTTTAACTTGCTGATATGAGCAGCCCGACATGCCCGTTACGTGACACTTGACCGACTGCTGATGTCAGCGGGCTCAACTATTGATGCAAAAATTGGGGCCACGAAAGCCTGTCTTCGGATTACACGTGGAAAGTGATGTATGCGAGAGCTAGCCATTCACCGTAGGCCCAATCGGGCACGTCTTTCATGCGTGTCCCGATTGTAGTCTAAACCTGGGTGGTGTGGGATGATGTGTAGACAGCACACCAATGGGCGCCTTGCAGGGCTTTGTGATTGAAGGCATGGGGTGGGGGCGATTGGGGAAACTGAAAGGGTAAGTAACTTTGGAAGGGCTTACACTAGCGACCCTGCGCTCCGAGGGGGCTTACAGTGCAAGTAGAGGGCACTTTCCACCCCTCCGTGCCTCAGACAGGGAAGTTATAGAAACAGGACAGGGCAAATCCCCACATTCACCCACGTGTCAACAATTTCCATGCCACCTACTGTACTGGACATCTGACCACCTGTGCACAACAGATTTTTGTCCCCACTGCAAAATCGAATCCACAAACTGGGTGGCTCGGCTGCCACACTGTTCCGAAATCCGCTAGGCTACTGTTTCGCGCCCAGATTTTCGGAACGGCCATCAAGGCAGACGGAAACGAAAACGGAGTAGCTCTCCGTCAAATCTTTCGAGTGACTTCGTCTCAAGTTACGTGGGAAGTCACGTAACTTGAGACGAAGTCACTCGAAAGATTTGACGGAGAGCTACTCCGTTTTCGTTTCCGTCTGCCTTGATGGCCGTTCCGAAAATCTGGGCGCGAAACAGTAGCCTAGCGGATTTCGGAACAGTGTGGCAGCCGAGCCACCCAGTTTGTGGATTCGATTCTGCAGTGGGGACAAAAATCTGTTGTGCACAGGTGGTCAGATGTCCAGTACAGTAGGTGGCATAGAAATTGTTGACACGTGGGTGAATGTGGGGATTTGCCCTGTCCTGTTTCTATAACTTCCCTGTCTGAGGCATGGAGGGGTGGAAAGTGCCCTCTACTTGCACTGTAGGCCCCCTCGGAGCACAGGGTCGCTAGTGTAAGCCCTTCCAAAGTTACTTACCCAAACTGGAATCCGAATTCGCGTTTCCGGCGATCGTCGCTGCACGCAAATGGGGATTCCGCGAACGTGGTTACCAGCTCGGGTTTCCGCAACTTTGGCAGCAACCGCAGCCACATCCAGACCAGAAGCCCTCCTCCTTGGCCTGTCCTGAGCTGACAATAATAGCCTGAGTTCTTCTGCTCGGATTCACACAGCAATAATGGTCAATGGGTATGCCGTTTTTTAGAATGGAAGAAAATCCTGACTGCCACAACGGAGCTTCTCCCACCAGGCCCACGTAGCTGCGATCGGTCGGTCCGGTGTGCCAGGAGGAATTTTTTCTATTGCATCCCAGATAGAGTCTATCCGCCCGCCCCTCCCGGCTCGCTATCTGCTGCCATGTTCTTCAGCCGTCTTTTGAAATGGAAGAAACTCCTGACCGCCACAACGGAGCTTCTCCCACCAGGCGCACGTGGCTGTGATCGATTGGTCCAGTGTGTCAGGAGGAAATTTTCTAATGCATCCCAGATAGAGTTTATCTGCCCGCGCCTCCCGCCGCGCCATCTGCTAGCATGTTCTTCCGCGCCTCCCATAATTATGCTCCCTGTCAATCCCTCGAGCCAACTCACTCCTTACAAAGGATCGTGAGAGGAGGGACTGATCATTATTACGAGCACTTCCAGCAGCGGTGAAGAGCAGCCAGCGCCTGTGCAGCTTTTCTCTCTAGTAGACTACTCTTCCTCGGGCGTTCCCCCCTCCAGCCATGGCTCGCCAGACCCCTCCGTCGCTCACAATGCTGGTTTCCGCCATGATTTTCGTCTCGTCGGCTGCTGCTGCCGCTTACTCTGCCCCTCCCACAACCGCCGCCGCCAGCAGCAAATACGCTCTCGTCCCGGCGACCAACAGCCTTCTATTCGGCAATGCATACTCGGTGACGTGGGGTCCCACGGGAATCACCTCCGCCGTCGACTCCCGTGGCGCGCCTCTCAAATTCACCACCAACGCCGACGGATCCGTCACTGTTGATAAGGTGTACACCGCCTACCCTAACGGCACGCTCACTGGTCCCGGCATTGTAATCGTCACCAGTGGGCCCACTGCGGGATTCAGCATGGGAAAGACGAGGTTCCTGGAGAACGGCACGATTGTGGACGTCTCGGGAAAGAAAGTTGTGCCGACTCTTAAAGCGGATGGGTCGTACACTGCAGGGGACCTGAAAGGGTGGAGTAACGGCACCATTGTTGGCCCCACAGGCGCATCGATCTATCTCGGCGCACCGCTCGCGCTCAACCCTGATGGCTCCGTTGGTTTCGTTCCTCCCAGCAGCAACTACTCCTACAACCCGACTGCCAACAGCCTGACGTTCGGCAAGGATTACGTCGTGACGTGGAGTGAGACAGGATTCACCTCCGCTGTCGACTCGACGGGCGCGAATCTCAATGGCGTAAAAAACCCCGCCGACGGATCCGTCACTGTTGATGATGCGTACACTGCCTATGCCAACGGCACGCTCATCGGTCCCGGCATTGTCGTGGTCGTGAATGGACCGACTGCCGGGTTCAGCATGGGAAAGACGACGTTCCTGAAGAACGGCACAATCGTGGAGGCCTCGGGAAAGCCAGTTGTGCCGACTGCCAATGCGGACGGGTCGTACACTGCAGGGGACCTGAAAGGGTGGAGCAACGGCACCATTGTTGGCCCCACTGGCGCATCAATCTATCTCGGTGCACCGCTCACGCTCAACCCTAATGGCACCGTTACTTTCGCTAGCAACGGTGGCGCTAGTGGCAGTGCTCCTTCTGCTGCTCCTTCTCCTTCTGCTGCTCCTTCTTCTGCTGCTCCTTCTCCTTCTGCTGCTCCTTCTTCTGCTGCTCCGGCTCCTCCTCCTTCTCCTTCTCCTTCCGCTTCTCCGGCTACTCCTTCCCCACCCAAGGCTGCAGGTAACTTGTTACTTATGCGCCCCTTACTGCTGTGCCATCTGTTCTTCCGCTTTCTGTTGCCCCTCTAGCAATCTTCGTGGTACCTCACTATGTATCCCCCCTTCACCTTTCCACACCTCTTCAATCTGATTCCCTCTTTTCATTATACCCTTATTCCCTAGAGCGGGTTGTTAGTTCTGCCCGCATTCTTACTGTCCTGTTGCCACCCTTGCAATGGCAGGTTTGCTTGCTACACCGGTCACTGCTCTCACTGCTGTCATCACTCTGATGCTTGGCACAATCCTATTCGTGTAATGTGCCTGCTCCTGGCTGCACCACAGGACTAGGCTCACGGTCAGTCTAGGCACAAGTGGCAGTGATTCTAGTGTGCACTCCACTCTAGGGTTTAGGCCTCAAGATAGGATTTGGATAGATTAACATGGATTATTCTTTCTGTAAGGGTAAAAAATAAATCTCATGAAAATCAGTGTCCTCTTAGAAACCACTTGTTCTTATCAGTGTAAATTGTCAAGTTACCGTACCCTTTTTTTGGTACATTCCAATGTAAATCACAAATTAAATTAAAATCAACTATCACACCATTCCACTAGCTAGATGCATCGCAAATGCTAACGGGGAAACTCCGATGCTAGGCGTCGCTATTAGAATGGACTAAGATACTAGCGGAAGCTTTAGTAGTCTTAGAACCTCCTCATAAAGCCTAGGAATCCTAGGAGCCCACTTGGGCATGAACCATGCTAGTACCAAAGTGGTTTCCAAAAAGTGAAATACCAACAAGAGAGAACCCTAACCTATAGGGTTTGGGAGGTGGTCCACTCTAAAGAGTGTACACCACAAGTTCTCCCAACCCAACCAATGTATTCTACACTACCATAGTGTAGATGTACCACTACATATGTTTATTGGAGCAACCCGAATTAACCTTAATTCCAACACCCCCCCTTGCTCCAATAAGCATTAAAGTTCACCCATAAATCAAAATACAACCCCTCCAGCGAATGAAGCCTTGGCCTTCGCAGCAATCACTCGCATGCCGATGCGCTCCAGGTTCTCATGCAGCTGCAAGCTTGGAAGAGCTTTGGTGAGCATGTCGGCATCCTGGAGGTGGGAGCGTACTGAGTGCACCTCGACCTCCTGCTGGCGCACCGCATCCCGTACAAAGTGCCATGCCACCTTAATGTGCTTGGTGCGCTGATGGAGAACGGGATTGTGGGCAAGGGAGACAGCTGCCTCATTATCACAGAGCAATGGAATAGCCCCCCCATCCCCCACATGCATCTCTGCCAACAGACTCCTCAACCAAATGGCCTCCTTGGCCCCCTCCGATAGAGCTTTGTACTCAGCTTCAGAAACGCTTGCTGCAACACTGTCTTGCTTTTTGCTATACCAGCTGATTGCTCCTCCTCCCAGCTTAAAGATGTAGGCAGAGCGACTCTTGCCATCAGTCTCACCACCCCAATCCGAGTCTGTGTACCCGACAACCTGCTCACCACCTTGGCGCTCATACCTGATGACACGATCAGCTGTGTCGACCAAGTACCTGAGTGCTCTCAGTGCAGCGCGCATGTGAATGCGTCTTGGTGCCACGCAGGAGTGTGCAAGGGTGTTGATAGTGAAAGACATGTCAGGACGGGTGGTCACAACAGCATACATCAAGCTGCCAATGAGACTCTGGTACACCTTGACATCAGCTGCAACACCTTCCTCAGTTGACCAAGTACCATTCCTGATCTTAGAGAGATCATTGGGTAACATTGGTGTATGCACCCTATGGGTCTCCTTCAGCAGATCACCAAACCTTCCCTGGAGACCACGGACATACTTCTCCTGACCAATCTCCAACCACCCATCCTTGACCGACCTGCGAACCTCCAAACCAAGGTACATGGATATCTCACCTAGATCCTTCATCTGGTACCTCTGAGCAAGCACCTCCTTGACCTGACCGATCAGCTCCAAGCGTGGAGACAAAAGCAAGAGGTCATCCACATACACCAATACATACACTGGCTCTTCATCCACAAACCTGATGTACAGAGCCTCATCACATGCACTGCGGTCAAACCCTGCTGCAATCAAGGTGGTACCAATCTCCTCATTCCAAGCACAAGGCGCTTGCTTGAGCCCATAGAGAGCTTTGCGCAAGCGATGCACCCTACCTGTACCATCATCAAATCCCTCAGGTTGCCTCACATACACTTCCTCTTGAAGGAGTGCATTGAGGTAAGCATGATCAACATCCTCCTGTTGTACATGCCACCCTTTTACCGCGGCTTCTGCAAGAAGCACCCGACCTGAGGTCAGCTTGCCCACAGGGGCAAATACCTGATCATAGTCCTTCTCAGGCTCCTGAGTGTACCCCTTAGCAACAAGGCGAACCTTGTGCTGTACCACCTTATCCTCCTTGTCAGTTTTCCTGCGGAAAACGTACCGGACCCCAATGGCCTTCTTACCTGGAGGTAAGTCAACCGGCTCTGGATCCCATACACCCATAGTGCGCATTGCATTTACCTCCTTCTCAGCGCCTGCCTTCCACGCAGGGCCCTCAGGGCCACGCAGGGCCTCAGCGAGTGTGCGTGGGACATCACCTGTGCTCACACCTGCCAGTGCAACACCTTCCACCTCCCTGGCCAAACATAGCATGCCCTCAACCACACCAGCATCCCCCCCTACCTCCTCACCACCTGTACCAGACTGGATACCAAGCACCTGCAAACCCGTAACCGGTGGTGGGGAGGTAGTCGCTGGTGACGGAGGGGCACCCGTAGAGAGAGGGATAGAGCGCTGACCAGAGGAGGAGGAAGAGGAAGTAGCCTGTGTAGCGGATCTCCGCTGAATGACCGAGGGGCCACTGAGCTGCTGCAGAGGGGTGGGCTGCTGCTGCACCGACACACTCAGCGGTGCCGGTGGCAGTGGTGAAAGTGGCATCTCAATGTCGTCAGCCGTTGCTGAAGGTGGCGAAAGTGGAAGAGGGAGGAGTTGGGAAATTGCAGCTGCATCCTGCAGAAGCTCCCCAAATTCCTTTGCCTTGTCCCAATCCTTCCACATCACATTCTCAAGGAAATCAACATCCCGAGCAATGCGAATGCGCATGATAGAAGGGTCCAGCATGCGCCAACCCTTGCTCTCCATGTCCACCCCAACACAGACACACATGACAGCCCGTGCATCAAGCTTGCCACCCTTCTCATGCCCATGCAACATGACACTCCCCATGCAACCCCAAATCCGAGCCATGCCCACATGCGGCTTCTGGCCGGACCACGCCTCCATTGGTGTGATGGAGGCAGGCAAAGCACTGTGGGTGACCCTGTTCTTAACCCACACGACCCACATCAATGCTTCACCCCACAAGCGAGCAGGGAGACCACTGTCGACCAACAATGTGCGAATCCCCTCTGCCATCGTCCTGTGCCACCTCTCCACAACCCCATTCTGTTGCGGTGTATCTGCGACGCTCAATTGAGTTTTAATGCCAAACTCCGCCTTCCATGCTTTTACAGCTTCCCCCAAGAACTCGCCACCCCTGTCCGAACGAACAGCCTTCAGCTTCCGCCCACACTCCAACTCCACGTCCTTATGCCACTGGCGAAGGACTTTTGCAACTATGGCCGATTCCTTGTTGGGGAGGGGGAACGACCAAACTCGTCTGGTGAAGTCGTCAATGAGACTGAGGACATACACCGCTCCTCCCAGTGATGGTGTGCGCACCGGCCCCTACAAATCCATGTGGACCTCATCCAAAGGCCCAAGTGCTCGAGACGCCTCATGGGGAAACGGCTTCCGAGCCGACTTTCCCAATAAGCAGGGCTCACATGGGGAACAATCAGTGTTCCCCCCCCCAATCTCCAAGCCCAGTACACTGTTCCCCCGAGCCATCTGTTGCAATGTTGTGGGGGCGGTATGACCAAGGCGGCGATGGGCAAGGGTCAATGGGGAAAATGAGGAGGACGACTTAGCTGCAAGAGCACTGCCCTGTGTGCCCTGAGCAAGAGGAAGAAACATCCGCACCAATCCATGGTCCCTTCCCCTCTCCTTTTCTCCAATCGCCAACACCCGCTCCCCCCGTTGAAGGACACATCTCTTGCCTTTGAATGTGACAATGACATCTCGAGAGGTGAGGTGTGGGACTGACAGCAGACGCGTGTGCATCTCAGGCACAAGGTGGACCTTTTGAATCCTCAGCAGCTGACCTCCAGCACCAACCACTGGCACCTCACCCATGCCAACAGCTTTCACCACCCGTCCATCTCCCAATCTAACTCCCCGAACCTCTGGTGGTTGAAGCTTACTTTTGAAGTCCGATGCATAAGGAGTAAAGTTGTGGCTGGCCCCACTGTCAATCCACCACCCCTCTCGCAGCTGCTCCTCTCCCACTGCTGCAACTGCTTCTCCAACCACTGCCTCTGCCTTGTCATCCTGCTCCTCCTCATCCGCCACCTGTGCCTTGCCGTTGGACCCACGACCCCCCCGCTTTAAGAATGCCGGAATGCCTCCCTTAGGTCGATGAGGACATCGCTGCCATGCATGTCCCTCATCCCAACAGCCATGACACAACCCCCGAGGAGCCATGCCCTTGGACCCCCAAGGGAAATCAAGCACTCCCGCTTTGCCTTTCCCTTGACCCCATCTGCCCGAGTTGGTGTCACTGCTACTACCGCTGTCTCCATGCTTTCCTCCCTTGACCCAATTTCCCCTGCCGCTGCTGCCCACTTTCGTACCTGCTCCAAATGTGGCTACACCATCCGATCTTGGTGCGACACCAATCCGCATCTCCTCGCTCCTCAAGGAGGTAAGTAGCTGATCCTTAGTGAGCGATGATGACTGGTTGTTCAACACCACCTTCAGCATCTCAAAGTGAGGAGGTAGTCCTTTGAGTACCCTCATCATCCACTCCTCAACCTCCTCCTTTCCTCCTGCAGCCAAGTACTTGGACCTCAAGTCCTCGGCACGCGCCCAGTATGCAGCCACCCCCTCCCCCTCTTTCATCTTCAATGAAGAGAGCTCCTCAGAGAGTGCCATCCGGTTACACAATCCACGCTGAAGGTAGAATTCCTTCACTCGTATGTATGCCGCTGCTGTGCCTGCAGGAATTCGGGTGACCGCTCTTGCTCCGCCATCAACAGGTGCGCTGCCCAACTTGGTCTTGCCGCCGAACTCCCGTACCAAGCGAATTAGCTCATCTGGCACCAAGGCATTGCAGAATTGAGCGAATGCCTTCTGATTTTTTCTCTCCCACTTCAGCCGTGCGTCACCCGATGCAGGCCGCTCCTCCGAACCATCAAAGTACCCCCATAGATCGTGTGCCTCTGCCCATTGTTCGAATCGGAAGCTCCAAGTCCAATAGTCGCTCCCATCGAACTTTGGCGCACTCTCCAGCTTCCCTTCACCTGAGTCATGATCCATTTGCGGCAGACACTCTGGAGATTGACGTTGAGGTGGTGGTGGAGGCAACGGCGGCGGTGGTGGAGACGATGTGGACAGATTTGCCCCCTCTTGGTTTTTGGAGCGTAACTCCGCGCTCGAACCTCCGAATGATGAGCCGTTTGTCTCAGATGAATCTTTGCTCCAAGAACGTTCCGATGATGTATCGCGCTCCTAGATCCCGTTTCCAAACTGGCCGCTTAAACTCGTCGAAGTTGGCCGATTTCCCGTCGACGAAGACTCAACCGTTTCTCCCGATTTTTGGCTTGTTGGATGCGCCCTGGTCTCCTCTATCGGCGTCTGGCCTCCAATCGTTTTTCCGCGCTTTAAATCTTCCCCGATTTGCGATTTTCCAATTCGTCCGCCCGCAGTTTTTCGCGAATTGCGTCCGATCCCCTCGTCGATTGGTAACAGCCCTGAGGCAATTGTTGTAGAGCGTGCTGAGACCTTTCCAACGGTATGCTGCACGTCTTGATCGGCCAAAGTTGACTGAGCGCCTCCGTGGATGGATGCCGCTCTTCTCGTCCTCCCAAACGGATCCACACGATTTCCAGCAGTTTTCTTCTCTCCTCCTCCCCTCCCACGTCCAGAGTCCGCCACGGTGCAATTTCGGCAGCCCTTCGGGAGGAATGGAAGCTAACTAGCTTCCACCAAGATCTTATGGTCCAATGTCTTGAGTAACTCCTATTCCAACAGATTGCTAGGCCTTCCTTGCTCTGATACCATATTAGAATGGACTAAGATACTAGCGGAAGCTTTAGTAGTCTTAGAACCTCCTCCTAAAGCCTAGGAATCCTAGGAGCCCACTTGGGCATGAACCATGCTAGAACCAAAGTGGTTTCCAAAAAGTGAAATACCAACAAGAGAGAACCCTAACCTATAGGGTTTGGGAGGTGGTCCACTCTAAAGAGTGTACACCACAAGTTCTCCCAACCCAACCAATGTATTCTACACTACCATAGTGTAGATGTACCACTACATATGTTTATTGGAGCAACCCGAATTAACCTTAATTCCAACAGTCGCTTCTTGATAGCCTGGAACAGGGTTACCACTTGCGGTCAGTTCGCATCTTCGGTTGGCGGAAGTGCACAAGTCAAGACGTCGCACGGCCATGCATCGCCAAGGCACGTCCTGCTCCAGGTCTTGATTCGGTTTTTGTCAAACTTATATATAGTTTACATTGCGTAGGCTGTAGTGGGGTAGCCCATAAGGGGTACAACCCAATTAGGGTTAGTACTTGTACCCAACTCTTTGCTAGTTCATTCATTCTCGTTGATTTTTCTGACATGGTTCCTGAGCAGGTCCTCCGCTAGGACCGCTTTTTCTCCTTGGGCCCACCACAGCGCTACCCCGCTAGCCGCCCTCTGCAGCCCTCGTGCTGCCCCTGCTGCCCATCGCGACTAGTCGACCCTAGTCCCGTCGCCAGGGCCTCAGATTCGTTTTTAGCTTGGCTGAGACGTCAGCCTTAGCAGGCTACGCTAGGCTGATCAATCAGAGTTGGTTCGAAAAAAAAATCTGATTTTTCAGACAAGTCACCTAAAAAAACGCTGACTAATCAGCCTCACTAAAAAATGCAGGCTGATCTATGTTTAAGCACTTTGTTCATTAAGTTTAGCAGGTGCTGTGCTGTGCTGTGCTGCCCTGGTGGTTGGTGAATGGCGCATAAAGGATGTGATTGGTTAAACAACCAATCACATCAATTGAAGCATTCTGTCGGTGACAACGAAGCAACCGACTCGTCGGGGAAATTCGTTTTCCCGCCGCGTCGGCGCTGTACGTGGCTACTTTTGCGTGATTGACGGTGGATGTACATGGACAGCCGAAAAACACGGCTCCGGCACGAATCTGTAATAGCGTGAGTTCAGCCTACACTCTCGTTACAAGTCTGATCAATCAGCGGACACTTGTAAAAAAACGCTGGAAAATCAGCCAATACTTAAAAAAAAAACCTGAAGAATCAGCCAACACAATCAAAAAACAACTGAATTATCAGCCAACACATCAGCCATATGTCTGGGAAATCAGCGTCCAGACCCTAAATCAGCCTTTTTTCGCTGACTTCTGAGGCCCTGCCCGTCGCCCTAGGTCCGTCGCCCCGGCCCGTTGACCCCTGACCCGTCGCCCTAGGCCCGTCGCCCCGGCCCCGAGGCCCATCGCCCGTCGCGACCCGTCGACCCTAGCCTAGGCCCAGGCCCCGCGGCCCGTCACCCGTCGCCCCTAGCCTAGGCCCCGGCCCCACGGCCCCTCGCGACCCGTCGCCCCTAGCCTAGGCCCAGGCCCCGCGGCCCGTCGCCTCGTCGCCCCTAGCCTAGGCCCCGCGGCCCCCCGTCGCCCACGACCAGTCGCCCCTAGCCTAGGCCCAGGCCCCGCGGCCCGTCGCCCCGTCGCCCCTAGCCTAGGCCCCGCGGCCCCCCGTCGCCCACGACCAGTCGCCCCTAGCCTAGGCCCAGGCCCTGCGGCCCGTCGCTCGTCGCCCCTAGCCTAGCCCCCTCAGCCCCACGGCCCCTTGCGACCCGTCGCTCCTAGCATAGGCCCAGGACCCGCGGCCCGTCGCCTCGTCGCCCCTAGCCTAGGCCCCGCGGCCCCCCGTCGCCCACGACCAGTCGCCCCGCGGATCCCGTCGCCCTAGGCCCCGTCGCCCCGCGGCCCCCCGTCGCCCACGACCAGTCGCCCCGCGGCCCCCGTCGCCCTAGGCCCCGTCGCTCCGCGGCCCCCCGTCGCCCTAAGCCACGTCGCCCCGCGGCCCCTTGTCGCCCTAGGCCCCGTCGCCCCGCGGCCCCTCGTCGACCTAGGCCCCGTCGCCCCGCGGCCCCTCGTCGACCTAGGCCCCGGCGCCCCGCGGCCCCTCTCGTAGCCCTAGGCTCTCAGCCCCTCGGCCCCTCGGCCCCCGGCCCCTTCGGTCCTGACCCCGCGGCCCGACGCACCTAGGCCCCCGGCCCCTCGGCCCCTTCGCCCCCGGCCCCGCGGCCCATCGTCCTAGGCCCCCCGGCCCCTCGGCCCCCGGACCCTTCGTTCCTGGCCCCGCGGCCCGACACCCCTAGGCCCCCGGCCCTTCGGCCCCTTCGCCCTTGGCCCCGCGGCCATGTCGCCCCTAGGCCCCCGGCCCCTCGCGCCCCCAGCCCCTTCGTTCTTGGCCCCGCGGCCCGACGCCCCTAGGCCCCCGACCCCTAGGCCCCTTCATCCATGGCCCCGCGGCCCGTAGCCCCTCGGCCCCCAGCCCCTCGGCCTCTTCGTTCCTGGCCCCGCGGCCCTTCGGCCCCTCTGCTGCTACTACTACTGCTACTACTGCTACTGCTGCTACTGCTGCTACTACTGCTGCTGCTACTGCTGCTACTACTGCTCCTACTGCTGCTACTGCTGCTCCTGCGTGCTGCGCCACTATGGCTTCGCTTCGAGTTCTCGCGTTCGATCATGAGGGCAGACCGATTCAGTTTGACACTTGGCTTGACGACCTGCAACTGTACCTACTGAGCGATTCTAAGGACAGTGTTTCGTTGTTTGACCTTGCGTCAGGCGCCGCTACCGCTCCTCCCGCCAAAGCTGACAGTGCGACTCGCTCACAGTGGCTTACTCACGACGCTGCTGCCTGCAAAGCCATTCGCAACCATCTGCCGTTAGCCGAATGCGCTCACTTCGGACAGCACAGGACAGCGCAGGCCCTGTACCATGTTGTCGTTGCTCGCTACTCCTCGCCTGCCACTACTGCTCTAGGCCGACTGCTACTGTCATACCTGTTCCCCGAGCTGTCAGCTTTTGCCACAGTAGAGGACCTTGTTTCCCACCTGCGCACTAGCGACGCTCGCTACCGCGCTACCGTCCCTGCTGAGTTCCTTGACAAGAACCTGTCAAAATGTTATATAGCTTATATTGTGTAGGCTATAGTGGGGTAGCCCATAAGGGGTACAACCCAGCTAGGGTTAGTAATTGTACCCAAATCTTTGCTAGTTCATTCATTCTCGTTCGTTACTTTGACATGGAATCAGAGCAGGTTCCTTGGGCCCACCACCTGCTATGCTGCTAGTATCGCTCCTAGGCCCGTCAACCCTAGCCTACGCGCCTGGCCTGTCGACCCTAGCCTACGCGCGCCCGGCCCGTCGCCTCTAGCCTACGCGGCCCGTCGACCCCTAGCCCGGCCCCGTCCCTAG